GGAGGCTCCGGTACAGACTGGGGGGCGGAGAGGGGGATCTGGTCGGGCTGGCCCCTCGGACACTCCCCCGCGCCCTGTCTGCAGCGTGTCCCTAGTGGGTGAAGCTCCTGGCAGCAGCGCGGGACTGGGAGCCAGGCGCTCCGGGGGTGGCTCTGTGCCTCTGTTTCCCCACATGGGCGTGGGGGTGGAAGGATGCTCCTGTGGGCCCCCTCCTGACGCCGCCCCTCCCATCCCCCAGCCGCCAGGAAGATCAACGAGCTGCAGCAGTGTCTGAAGAAGAAGGACGAGGACATGAGGGCCATGGAGGAGCGCTACAAGCGCTACATGGACAAAGCCTGCACGGTGAGCCCCGGGCTGGGGCGGGGCTAGTGGGCTGGGGTGGGGCAGAGCCCCGGGCTGGGGCAGGGGCTAGTGGGCTGGGGTGGGACAGAGCCCCGGGCTGGGGTGAGGCTAGTGGGGTGGGGAGGGGCGGGGCTAACGGGCTAGTGTCTGGGGTGGGGCTAGTGGGCTGGGCTGGGGCAGGGCTAGTGGGCTGGAGAGGGGTGGAGCCCTGGGCTGGGGACGGGCTGCGGCAGCTCCATTCCTTGGGTTGCTCCCGAGTGGCCCAAGCCATGGACGGGCTGGGCCCTGTCACCCCACAGCCACTGGGGCCAGGCTCCCTGTACCTCCCCACAAGGGGTGTTGCTCTGGGGGGGGGCCCTCTGGGTAGCACTGACACCCACAGCAGGTGTCCTGCCCTGGGGGGGAGGCGTCTCCCCTGGGATGGGGGCAGGGGGATGTCCCCGGTAACACCCCCAACTGTATCCCCTCCATTCCAGGTCATTAAGACATTGCACCCCAAGCAGCCACCATCCAAGACACCCCCTGAGATCCAGGCCTTAAAGAACCAGCTGCAGGAGAAGGAGGTGAAGATCCATCACCTGGAGGTGAGGCCCTGCCACCAGGGTGGGGGAGTAACTAACCTGGGGGCCCCCTGCCCCGGAGCCCTTCTTGGCTGTGCCGGAGGGTGCTGCGCTGTGGGGTTAGTCGCCTTCCTTCCTGGGCCAGGGGAGGAGAGAACTGCCTCCGCTGCCCTCACCACGCCTGTACTCTGTATCGCGATGATGGCTGGAATCCAGTCTCATGCTTCAGCGGTCATCTGCAGGGGTCAAGAAGGAAACCCCCACCCCTGCCAGGCACATCTGTGTTGTTTGGGGGGGGGGGGCGGAAAGGGTTGCCTTCCTCTGAAGCATCAGGGTTTGGCCACAGTTGGAGACTGGTCACCGGTCAGAAGGGGCCAGAAAATCCACTGCCTGGGTGTGGGGTCACCCTCTCTGTAGCACGGGGCACCTGCGGGGGTCATCTAGGCGTGTCTAATCCGTTCCCTGGCACTGGTGGCACCTGCCCGTGGCACCCCCCATTCCGGCTGCTGAGGCTGGGTTACTTTGGTCTCATCCCAGTTGCTGGGCTCGCTGGGCCAGCCAGGAGGTCAGACTGGATGATCTGATCCCAGGTGTGGAGGGTCTGGGTCGTGCCAGCTGCTGCCCCCAGCCCGCTGCCCTGGAAGGACCCTGTGGGGCAGCGCGGGGCTCCGTTGGCGAGAGAGGCAGCCAGCAAGTTGGGGGGGTGGGGGGTGCACTCCCTGGCCCACTAGCAGCTGGGTTGAGCCCGCCTGGGCGGAGGGAGGGACCCGGTCCCAGGCAGGGGGGTACCTGTGGCCGTGACCAAGTGCCTTGAACCAGCTGCTGGATTATCCAGGCAGCCTGGGTTGGGGACTAGAAGGGGAAGCCAAGGGACCCCCCCCCACCCCCATTGCAGCTTCCTCCCCTCCAAGGTCTGAGCTTCCCCCAGGCCTGGCCCTGAGCCGAAGGCTGCAGGAAGCCCCCATGTGGCCTCTGGGACCCAAAGCCGGGGGAGGGGTGCCCCATATGCCCAGCCTGAGCCCCAGGGGCCAGCCTGGCTCTGCCTCCCCCACTAACCCCCCCCCATTTCCCCCTCCCCCCAGACCAACTTGGAGAAAACGAGATCCCAGCGGGAGCAGGAAGAGAAGCTGATCATCAGCGCCTGGTACAACACGGTGAGCGCAGGGGGCGCGCCAGGCTGCCGGGAGGGGTGGGGGGGCTGGTGCCAGCCTAATCCCACAGCACCTTGGCTGGCCCAGACCTGCTGAGGTGAGCGCTGGCGCCGGGTCAGTGCCCAGCCACCCATGGCTCCTGCTGGTGGGAGCTGAGCTCTGTGCCAGGCAGTGCCCAGGGGCTGTCCCTCTGCCCCCCTCGCTGACCTCCTCCTCCCGTTGCAGGGCATGGCGCTCCACCAGCAAGCCACGGAGCAGCGATCGGCCGCCTCCAGCAGTGCCCAGTCCTTCCTGGCCCAGCAGCGCCAGGCCACCAACGCCCGCAGGGGGCATCTGGGCCGGACCCAGCCCCTGCTGGCCAAGTACGGAGACAAGCCCCCCCAGCTGCACTGACCGGAGCCCCTCCCACTCCTACCTTCCTCCAGGGCTGCGTGGGGTGGGGGGGTCTTGCCCATTGCCGCCCTGTGGCATCCACCCCCTGCGGTGCCATCTGTCTCTTAGGGGGGGGGGGGGAATGCAGGCAGCAAGGGGCTAACTCTCCCCTCCCCCAGAGATGGGCTAGAACGGCCTGCGCTGCCAGGGGGGTGCTGGGGGGAGTGGATCTGCCCGTGATCTCGGGGGGCTGGAGATGGACCCTGCTGTGAGCCCCCTTGCTTTGCACTACTAGAATGGGGGGGAGTGAACAGGGAGGATCAGCCAGGACCCCCCCCCCCCCCCCCCCCCACCCCCCGCGCCCAGCCGCTCCCCCCGCCCCCCCCCCCCCCCCCCCCCACACACACACTCCCTGGGCTGGTCCCTTTGAGCACTAGCGTGTGAGCCGATCCCTTCCCTTCCCTCCCTCCTCTGAAAGACCCCCCCTGAATTTTAACCCCTTCTTGGCCACTCTCCCAAGCGCAGCGCCGCGAGCCCCTCTGCCGAGGCACCCGGCAGTCCGTGGCCGTGGCGGCTGGCCGGGGCGCTGGCTCGTGTTCGGGGCGTACATGGTGAGACAGCCGAACACCAGGGCATTGAACGCCAGGGTGGTCTCTGCCAGCACCACAGCTCCTGCGCTCAGGGCCGGTCCCATCCCCTGTGGGCGTCGGGAGCTGGGCAGGTTCTGCTGCTTGATGCCACCCAGCCAGTGCCCGTGGGTGAGGGGAGATGGCTCACAGCCTCTGGGCTGGGGCCTGCCCCCTTCATAATTCCCTGCCGGAGCCTCTGACTTGCTGCTGACCAAAATCTTACCTGATTAGCAGCTGTGCCAGCCACCCCTGTCCCGGCAACTTCATGCACCATGACTTCCCCGCTTCCTTGTCAGTTCCTAGCTGCTGTGGCATCAGGTGCCACCTGGTCCCAGGCTTCACCTTGGGGATCCAGGATCCCCGTTGCCCGGGTTCTGCTCCGTTCCCTGCCCTCCAACAGAACCCGCCAGCCGGGGCCTGGGCTGAGACGCTAAAGCTACCGGCAAGGAGCCGCTTCAAACCTCTCCTTCAACACTAAACGCCTCTCCCGGCCGCTGGGAGCCAGGCAGGTCCCAGAGTCGGTCACTACAAACCCAACCCCCCCTTGTTCTCCGGCGCGGGGGGGGGTTTCTGTGTCCGTTCTCCGAGGCTGGGTCGAGCGGCGTCTTTTGGTTGTCAAGTGATCCGTCCTTTTACCTCTGCTCGGTGTGGGTTGAAGTGGATTGAGTTTTATTTTTAAATGTTGGGGGGGGGGGGGGGCAGATTGCCCTGAGCTCTCCCTACTCTTCTTTTTTCTCTTCTTTTTTTTTTTTAGTATGTTTTTTTAGTCAAACGCTGCTGGGGTTTTAAGACGCAAACTGTATATTTTGTAAAACTGTGACGGGGGAGGGGTTCTGTGGGTCTTTTATTTTTCTACTCTAGGGCAGCCTGCAATGGGGCACGGGGGCACCTTGGCTCCTGTCCGGAATCTTAACACTACCAATAAAGATGTGCTGATCGGTCTCCTGAGACACAATAAGCATCTGGCTGCTCTGACCCCTAGTGTCTGGGAGCAGGTCTCTATGGATTATTAGGTGTATTATGGTAGCCGTATGGATTTTTCTGGATGCTATAACTAGGTGTATTATGGTAGCACCTAGGGGCTGGGAGCCCATTTCCTTGGATTATTAGGTGTATTACGGTAGTGCGGAGGCATCCCTGATTTGGATGAGGACCCCGTTTTTCTGGGGGCTGTGTATTAGCTGTATTAAGGTAGTGCCTAGGGTCTGAGAGCAGGTCTCCACGGGTTATTAGGTGTACTACGGTAGAGCGCATGCCCCCATAGTGCTATGGGCTACCATAATCTACGTAATAACTAGTGGCTGGCATGTAGGAGCCCCAGTCATAGAGCCGGGCCCATGGTGTGTGGCGCTGTACAGGGGCAGCTGAAGCATGTTTCCCTGCCCGGTTGGGGGCTGGGCTGAGACACCCCCCCCCCCCCAACTCATCTCTGGGGCAGGCTCTTGGCTGCTGTTAGCTCGGCCTGGCTTGGAACAGGGCATCAACCTGAGCTCCTCTCCCAGGCCACAGCCCAGCTGGGCACAGGGGCAGCGGTGCTGCAGGTGGGTGGGGCTCAGCAGAGGGCAATCACCCCCCCCGGTCAATGCTGCTGCCAGTGTGGCACTGCGGGGGGAGGGTGTGCTGTGCCCAGGGAGCATTAACCCTCCAGTCACCTCTCCCCAGGGAGCCCTGCCCTCTGCCTCAGGCAATGCCCGATGGGGCCTGTCTCGCCCATCCCAGCGCAGGATCTCCAGCGGCCCTGGCGGATCAGCACGCGGCCGGGGCAGAGCCCGAGCTCTTCTCCAGCGCCGTTCAGCTGCAGAGCGCCCTGGTCCCCAGACAAGGTCGGTATTGTTAGCCCCACTTAGCAGATGGGGAAACTGAGGTGCCAGCAGGCCCAGGGCAGAGCTGGGAATAGATCCGCCCTGTGGCTTCCAGTTTCCAGCCTCCAGAAGAGAATAGCAGCCCCCCACCCCTCCTGCCCATTGGGCTGGGCGCTACCCCTGGGACTTAACGAGCACAGCTCCTGCAGCAGCGAGTGCCAGAGGGAAGCGGGTGATCTCCCAGGGCCAAGAGGAGACAAACGTCCCCTCGGGGGGAGCTGGCATATAGTGTCACGGGCTGCTGGTGCCTGCCAGGCCGGCCCCACGTGCTGGTGGAGAACAGCAGGGCTGGAGGCAGCAGCTGCCAGGCTCTGAGCAGATCCCCCGGCCCGTGGCCGGCTGCCCGATTCTCTCCTGCGCTGTGAGAGGCTGTGGAGGGCATTGCCTGGAGCAGGGCCTATGTGTTCCTCCACTTCTCCCCCAGGCCCCTGGCTGCCCCCCCTCCCACCATCGCATGGACTCCCCCACGCCAGGCCTTCTCTGCCCCTATTTGCTCCTTCCACCTCGTGGCATAGATTTTTCCCCCCCCCTTCTTCCCTGGGGCGGGGGCTGCTCTGGGATTGTCCCACAGGCTCTGCCCCCCCCCCGTCCCATGTGCCCCCCCCCCCCCAATTTCTTCTCTTTCTGGCTGGGAGCTAAATCTGGGCATGAACATGCCAAGCTCTTAGCCCTGGGGGAGGGGGGGTGTCAGTGCCTCCCCTCCAGTAGCTCTGTGCCCTACAGCCAGCGGTGCACACGCTAGATGCACGACTGGTCCTAAACTGCTGGCTGGGGGTCCCCTATATTCCCCCCCCCGCCGCCCCGCCGGCTTTCCCCACACATGAACGTTTGCAAGGTAGCAGCTGGGGCGGTTCAGAGTTGCGGCAGGATCGACCCCAGGCCCTCACAGCCTTCCTCGTAGTCAGCCCTGCGGGGGGGGGGGGGGTTTAAAACCACCTGTCCATGCGGGGGGGCGGGGGGCTCCCACTCCCACCCCTGGGCCTGGATAAACAGCAGGGGCTCTGGTTTAATTCAAGCTGGTTTTTAAGCCAATTTCAACTGGAGCCAAACAATGGGGTGGGGGGGTTGGTTCAGTTGAAAACCTGCTCGTGAGTTAAGGGGCCTGGAGTTTTTGCCCCGTTTGGCTGAAGGTGGGTCAGGCTGGAGTTCAAGGGCAGCGATAAACCCAGGACTCCATTCCCTGCCGGGCCGGTGAGGCCCCCGAGCCAGCTCTGTCCCGGTCTCAGTCCAGCTGCCCCAACTCCCCCTGAACTCGGGGGGCTTTGAAAGCAGGCGCTGAGCGGCTGGGCCTCGCTTTCCCCCTCCTGCAAAGGAGGCGACACCCCCACCTTGCCGCTCTTAATCACAGCAGCTGGCCCTTGAGCCCAGCCCCCCAAGGGCGCCAGCATTGGGGTGTAGATCAAACAGCTGGGGCATGAGCCATCAATGCTGGCTCGGCTCCAGCTCTGCCTGGCTTTCCAGCCCCGGGGGGCCCTGAAGCAGCTACACCCCCACGAGGTGTTTTTGGGTTGAGACCAGAAGGGTGAATTGGGATCATCTCCAGCCACCAGCCCACAAACTACCCCCCCCCCCCAGATCAAGCACAGATTCTGGCCGACACGGGCCCACGGCTGCTTTGGCCAGGGGCCAGTCTGGGCTTAAAAACCGCCTCAACGGGCCGTCCCTCAGCCCTGGTTCTGGCCAGTCCAGCTGCTGGCTCTCAGCCTCAGGCAGCAAGCTCAGGGCCCATGGGGGCCAGCAGAAATCGCCTCCCCCTGGGCTGGGCAGAGCCGTCACAGCAACTAGCGCTCAGCTGAGCTCAGGGCCTGTCTGGCTGCTAAGAGCCAGGGGCTCACTGCAGCGGCTCTCCGGAGGGGGAAGTTTGCCGCTCGCGTGCGGCCGGCTTCTCCCCGGGGCAGCGAGGGCAACGCAGACAGTACTGCCAGGTGGGAGTGTTTTTCAAGCCCTGAGCACTGTAGTGGGGGCCCCCCTGTGAGAGTTGCTGCTTATTATACGCAGATGCAGCCAGCTCTGGGGTGGGACACAGCCGCTTATTAGCTGCAGGTCCCTCACCCAGCACTGTGATGCAACTTAGAGCAGAAGTTGCAGCTGTTCAAAGTAGGCTCAGGCTCTGAACCTGCCCCCCATCCAGGGGCCCCACAGGCTTCTACTCCTGCCCCCAGGGGCCAAATACCAGCTCCCCGCTGCCACCCCGTGTGGCATGAAAGTGAGAACAGTGGGGTTCCCCCGCTGAGCTGCAGCAGTGCCGTAGTTCATGATTAGGAGCTTTCCCTCATCCACCCCCAGGGGCAGGTCCCACCCCTGGTCCCGCCATAGGCCGACAGCATTTCTCCAGCAGGGTCCTCGCCCGGGCTCCTTCCCCCACTGTGTGACCTGAGCCAGAGGCACCAAGCTGGTCAGAGGGGCCACCTGGCCCCGAGGAGACGGAGACAGGAACACCTGGGTCAAGGGGCCCTGGCTACCCCGCCCATTTTATTTTAAACGTGACCCAAGTTTCTGGAGGTGGGACTGGCCCCATTGCATGTTTCCAGCAGAGCACCCGAGAACTGCCTGACAGTAGTTCCTTGTGGCAGAGGGGGAAACTGAGGCAGGGAACTGCAGCCAGCCTTCCCAGCAACCTCCCCCACCACCCTCTGCCCAAGACCCCACACAAGAGCAGCTTAGTACAATTATATTTTAAAAGGCAGGAACCAGACTGTGAAAGAAAAGGGATTGAGCCATTTTCCCCCGGCCCCAGAGGGGTGAAGCTGCCCCCCCAGCTCAGCCCCCCTCCCCCCCCCGTCCAGTCCCGGGGGGCGAGCGAGGGGAGAGGCCGGGGCAGCCCAGAGCTAATGAAACGATGCCTCGAAGACGGGGGCATTTGCAGCAGGGTCCCGCTCGGTCGTGGATGAGAGTTGAGGGGACCGGAGCTGGGACCAGGACGGGTCAGCCAGCAGGGGGCGCTGCACCACCAGGGCCCAGCATGCAGCTGGTGAGCCAGGGAGCAGAGGGGTCCGGGTGGCTGGGGGAGGGGTTGATGGCCCCCCTGATTAACGCCCCCCCTTTGAACAGTTCATCTGGTGGCATCAGATCTGGGCTTAGCTGCCTCTGGCCCAGAACCAGGCGTCTCTGCCGTCACATCTAGGGGTCGGCCCCCAGCCGGCACTGGGGTTGGGTCCCCGCTTCCCCCGGCCGCAGAGCGTCTCGGCCCAGCCCGGCTCACGCCATCGTCTCCTCCTCGATGCGGTTCTGCAGCCAGGGGCGGTAGCCGGCACTGGGGGGGCCGCTCCGGGCGGGGGGCTCCTGGGCGGCTCCCGGCTGCGGGAGGAAGGACGTGTCCACAAGGGGCCCCACGTCCTGTGGCGAAGGGAAGCCGCCGGCCACAGGGGCGGCGCCGTCGGGGTGAAGCAAGGAGATCTGGGACCGCCGGGCAAGGTCCGACTCCTCGGCCAAGGCCTCCTCGTGGCTGCCTGGGGCCCGGGGCCCGGCTTCCTCACCCCCCTCCCAGCCCCGCTGCTCCGGGGCGAAGGGGACCTCGCTGAGGGGCAGGCGGCGGGCGGGGGGCCCACAGCTGCAGTCCGTGCTCTGCGTGTCCTGGCACAGGCAGCTGTAGGAGGTGGAGGCCTCGGAGACGCAGCTGTTCTTGCGGCGCAGCAGGGAGAGGCGCCGGCCGAAGCTGCCTGGGGCGGGCCCCGTGGCTAGCAGCCGGTTCAGGAGGTGCAGGGGGACGTGCCGGCTTGGCTCCAGCCCCTCCTCGATCTCCTCCAGCGGCTGGAACTGCATGTCCTCCTTGGGCAGCCTGCACCGGAGAGACCAGGGATTGGAATGCAGCCACCTCTGGGGTGGGGCACTGCTCATTAGACATACGCTGAGCTGCAGCCACCTCTGGGGTGGGGCACGGCCCCTCGTTATACACGGGTCCCTCACCCGGTGCTGAGCTGCAGCCACCTCTGGGTGAGCCCTCAGCAGAGAGGCCCAAGTGCCCCTGGGATCCCTGTGGTCCAGGGGCCAACCAAGGGAGCCCCCAGCACCCCCCGGCCCAGGCTCACGTCATGTCGAAGGTGGAGCCCTGAAAGGACGGCTGGTGCAGCAGGAAGACGGTGGCCGCCGTGTAGGGGGCACGGGGGTTGGAGGCGTCCCAGTAACGGTCCTTCTCCAGCAGGGGCAGGTCGTCGTACATCTCGTCCACCGCCATCATGGACACCTGGGGGGCAGGGCAGGGGTCAGGACTCCTGGGGTCTAGCCCCAGCTCTGCCCCAGACTGGCTGTGGGAGCGGGAGCCAGACACTAAGTTGGGGGGAGGGTCCCTGCTGCGGGTTCGTCAGGACCCCACAATCTGTGGGGCTGGCAGGGGGGTGGGGGGGAGGTACCTGGAAGTTGCGGTCGATCAGCAGGTTGGTTTCGAAGTCGTCGTCGTCCTCCCCAAAGGGGTTGATCAGCTGCTCGGCCACCTGAGGGGAGCACGGCTCAGCTGGGGGGGGGCAGAGCCTCCCCCAGCGCCCTGACCCCTAATGCCCCTTCCAGGCCTGCCCCTCCCCCAGCATTGATCAGGTGCTCAGCCACCTGTGTGGAGCACGGCTGCACTTTCTGCCCCCCAACCCCCTTCTGGGAGTCTTCCCCCTCCCCCAGTACCCTGCCCCACCCCCATCTTCCCCCCCCCCCGCACCTTGAGCCAGCCCACGTAGAAGAAGAACTGCAGCAGGGTGAAGACCGGCACACACAGGTCCAGGTCGTGGCCCTCGTAGCCCTGGGCTGGGTCCAGGAACTGACGCCCGATCAGACAGGCCACGAAGAAGCTGTACACGGCGATGGTCACCACCTGGGGGCGAGGGCAGAGAGTCAGGGCAGGGCCGGGCCAGGAACCCCGGCGTTCGGGCTCCCCAGCCCTGCCCCTCCCCTCTCCTCCCCATCCCATCCCCAGAACCC